TGTTGGCTAGGTGCGCCATGGATGAGTTCCTAACACTATGCAAATGTTAGGCCAAGAACCCTCATATGACCATGCCAGCTGCACTGGCAGAGTGCATAGCCATTAAAAAATTCCTGGAAGGTGTTCTTACGTGGAGTCAGCTAGCAACAACTAAACTTTATACATGAAAGAGATTTCAAGTCACATAAACATATCCCCACTCATCTTCTCCTTAGGACTTCAGAATTGCCTTTGTCCACCCCAACACAGCCTGGAAGAACAGGATGTGTGACAGGAAAGAAGCAAAGTGGAAAACTGCAGTGGCCTTAACCAATTAAGTCCAGCTTCAGAAAGGTACTGTGCAAGTGAGAGAGGCCTTAAGCTTTACGAGCTTCAGGGTAAATCTACCTCTGTCCAGATCATTCTGAGCCTCATAGATCATCAAGAACAGTCAGGATTTTTTCTTCTACATGAGACAAGAAACAGTGGAGGATTTTAATCAAGGGATCTCAACTATGTCTTAACAATAACACACAGGGAAATGCACTGACCTAAGGTTATCCTCTAACCCTGATCAAAAAGAGGTATTCAAGCACAAACCAGAACAGTTATGCTTTCATCTCCTGAAAATCGGGTTTCCTTTATCCCTATCTCTGGATTTAAAATCCCAAGATGTGCACAAATCCAATCATCCCATAATATTCTCAAAGACTTCTATTTGAAAATAGAAGTAATGATTTCTCAACCTACAAGTTTTAATAAAGAACAGCACTCTTTAAAAGCAGGATACTTAGGTACTACGTGTTGTTCTACAGCTATCTGAGGAATGAAGGTACTGTTGTTCCTAGCTGTGCGGCCCCAATCTTAACAGCCTGACCTTTCCATCAGCTCACGAGACTCCAAATATCTTCAATTAATTCCTTTTCTACTTAATTTAGCAAAATTTAACTAGTAAGTTCGTTTTTACAAACAAGAGCTATGAATCCAACAGATAAGTATGTAATAAACAAGTAATAGTAAACCAGTCAATCATGAACCCTGAAGTTATTAAAAGCACTGGGGGTGGAGATGGCAAAAATGATTAGAAGCTGTTGAACCAGAAATGCTGGAGGGTGATGGCATTCCTCAGCCTTTCCTACTCACCCACAGGTCTCCTGTTCTGCCTTTTCATGTTTGGGGAGAAGGGTCGAGAGAGGAGCACACAGCAGCTTCTCACCACACAACATTATCCCTGTTACTGAAATGCTAAAGAAGCTATGAAGAAAAGGACATTAAAGAATGCAAAAAAAAAAAAAAAAAATACGCACAGAAGAGCATAATACAGATAGAAAGCGTAAAATTTAGGAATGGGAAACACAGAATAAAGCACTGTAGGAATAGGTTAGTCTAGAAAACCTTGGTCCCAGAGTAGTTGGTGTGGAAGAACTGCCAGCCAGATTCATCTCATCCATAAATAAGATCTCTGTAGCTAAATCACAAAGGCAATGACAAGGTGAATTTACAGTTTTCACATCCAATTACACATTGTGAAACTTTAACCTAATAAGACAACATTTAAAAGAGAAGCCAAAACAATTGTAAAATTTTTCATTTAGAAAAATATCTGATAAAGGTAAAAATAATTGTTACCCATGCATATGTTTTTTAAATTAACTGGCTTTACAAAGTTCCTTATAAAAAACTAGACCCAGATCCCTCTCCAGTATTTCCTTTTCCCAAAAGCTTTCTCTAGTTTATTCAGTGACTGCCGTTGAGGAAGTCTAAGATATAGCCGTTTCCTGGTCCTGGCATCCTGCATTACTTCCCACCCCCGACATCTCAACACTAATCATCTCAATCCTAACTTTGGCTAGATCAATATTTAAGGCTTATATCATTATCACTACATAAAGTATTCAGAGCTGAGCCAAGCAGTAAACAATAATTTCTTTTCTTTTACTGCATAATATTTTGTTTCCCTTGCAATTAATAATTGATTTCTCATTTTCTTAGTTTTCCACATGCTTATCTATTATATATTTACCCCAATTCACCCAAGACTCTCCAGTCTGACAAAGCTCCTTTGAGTATATTAATTTACATCAGGCTTCTATCAATTTCATCTTCTGGAAGAAGTCTCTCCCTGTCTTCAGAGTTACTACCATCTGGACTGAGAAGCCTGGGCCAGGTACACAGCTACTCTCCTCCCACTCCTCTCTGACATTAATCATCATCTTCCTAAAAACACCACTGCCACTCTCTCCCCGATCCTCCATTCCCCTCAGATCCCACCTCAGAAGTCTCATGAGAAAAAAGTGTGCCAACAAAGCTTGGAAAATCTTGCAACACACAGTCACTTTCTGGAATTCCCTAATGCATACGTTTGAGAACCCTCTTCTAAAAAAACCTTTCAATTTTGTTTAGTCCAGGTGTTTCTGAAGCTTAATCAAAGACAATAATCTATTTTTGAGGAATACCTACCTAATAGTGTACACTTGGGGAAATGATACATGGATGGTAAGCTACTTGAAGGCAGGGAATATAGCTTATTATCGTTTGCAAATTAATGACATCTAACATGGAACAAAACATAGGAAACAAGCATGCTGAAGCAAACACAAGGTCTATGTAATAGATGTCACATATCTTGGTCATTCTAAAAGCTATCCCAAAACACCAATGATCATCCTAGGTATATCATAACAATTCTATATATATTTCATAGAAGCTCTACTATAAATTCATTGTATGTGAGTGCAGCTATCCCTGGGTATTCATGACGGATTGACTCCAGGACCCACTAAGGGTACTAAAATCCACAGATATTCAAGTCTTTTATATAAAATGGTATAGTATTTGCATATAACCTACATACACTGTCTTGTATACAGGCATACCTTGAGACACTGCAGGTTCCGTTCCAGACAACCGCAATAAAGCAACACAATTTTTTTTGGATTCCCAGAGCATATTAAAGTTATGTCTACACTACACCATAGTCTTTTAACTGTGTAATAGCATTATGATTTTAAGGTCATCTGAGCCTTAAGCAAGTCATCATCTTTTTGCTGGCAGAAGGTCATGTCTTGATGTAAATGGCTGCTGACTGATTGGGGTGGCAGTTGCTGAAGGTTAGAGTAGCTGTAGCAATTTCTTAAAATGAGACAATAAAGTTTGCCACATCAACTGACTCTCCCTTAGAAAAGATTTCTCTGTAACATGCCATACTATTTATCCACATGCCATACTATTAACATGCCATACTAACTATCTTTACGTAATATTCTAAATCCTTTGTTATCATTCCAACAATGTTCTCAGCATGTTTTCAAGGAGTAGAATCCATCTCAAGAAACCACCTACTTTGCTCATCCGTAAGAGGCAACACCTGGCCAGGGGTGGTGGCTTAGGCCTATAATCCTAGCACTTTGGGAGGCCAAAGCAGGAGGACTGCTTGAAGCTAGGAGGTCGAGAACAAGAAAGTGAGACCCTGTCTGTACAAAAGATGATTTAAAAAAAAAAAAAAAAAGTTAGCCAGGCACAGTGGTATGTGCCTGTAGTCCCAGCTACTTAGGAGGCTGAGGAGGGAAGACAGCTTTAGCTGGAGAGTTCAAGGCTGCAGTGAGCTAGGATCGTGCCACTGCATCTGCTCTAGCCTAACAGAATGAGAACTTGTCTCCAAAAAAAATTTTTAAGTAAACAAAGGCAGCAACTCCTCATCCATTAATGTTTTATCATAATACAACAATTCATTTCCATCTTCAGGCTCCACTGCTAATTCTCATTCTCTTGCCACTTCCACCACATCTGCAGTTACTTCCTTCTTCAAAGTTTTGAACCCCTCAAAGTAATCCATGAGGGCTTAAATTCAACTTTTTCCAAACTCTTGTTAATGTTGATATTCTGACCTCCTCTCATGATTCATGAATGTTCTTGATGGCATCTAGAATGGTGAATCCTTTCAGGAAAGTTTTTCACTGACTTTGCTCAGAGCCATCAGAGGAATCCCTACCTATGGCAGCAGCTATACCCTTAGAAAATGTATTTCTTAAATAATAAGATCTGAAAGTTGAAATTACTTTGATACCTGGGCTGCAGAATAAATGTTGTGTTAGCAGGCACAAAAACAACATTCAACTCCTTGTCCATCCCTATCAGAGCTCTTTGGCGACCAGGTCCACTGTCAATGAGCAGTAATATTTTGAAAGGAATCTCTCTTTCTGAGAAGTAGGTCTCCACAGTAGGCTTAAAATAGTCAGTAAACCAGCTATCAACAGATGTGCTGTCATCCAGGCTCTGTTTTCCACCGATAGAGCACAAGCAGAATGCAGCTATACATAATATATAATTCTTAAGGGTCCTAGGATGTTTGGAATGGTAAAGGAGCACTGACTTCAACTTAAAAGTCACCAGCTGCATTGGCCACTACCAAGACAGTCACTGTACTCTGAAGCTTTTAAGGCAGGCATTGACTTCTCTCTAGTTATGAAGTCCTGGATAACATCTTCATCAAATAGAAGAGTGTCTTGTCTACAATGAAAATCTATTGTTTAATGTAGCCACCTTCATCAATGATCTTCGCTAGATCTTCCGGATAACTTGTTGCAGCTTCTACATCAGCATTTATTATTTCACCTTGCACTTTATGTTATGGAGATGGCTTCCTTCCTTAAACTTCATAAACCAACCTCTGTTAGCTTCCAACTTGTCTTCTGCAACTTCCTCACCTATCTTCACAGAATTAAAGAGAATTAGGGCCTACCTCTGGATTAGGCTTTGGCTTAAAGAAATGTTGTGGCTGGTTTGATCTATCCAGACCACTCAAACTTTCTCCTTATCAGCAATATGGCTGTTTCGCTTTCTTATCGTTCATGTGTTCATTGAAGCAGCACTTTTCATTTTCTTCAACAAATTTTCCTTTGCATTCACTTGGCTCAAAAGGACTAGCTTTTCGCCTATCTCGGCTTTCAACACAGCTTCCTCACTATACTTCATCATTTCTTGCTTTTGATTTCCAGAGAGACATGTGACTCTTTCTTTCACTTGAGCATGTAGAGGCCACTGCAGGGTCATTAACTGGCCTAATTTCAATATTGTTGTCTCAGAAGAAAGACAGGGGTACAGCCAGTTGCTGGAGCAGTAAGAACTTACATGTTTATTAAGTTCATCACCTTACATGGGTAATGGTTCATGGTGCCCCAAAACAATTACAACAGTAACATCAAAGATCACTGATCATAGATCACCATAACAGATAAAATAATGAAAATTTTTGAAATATTGCAAGAATTACCCAAAATGTGACACAGAGACACAACAGAAGCACATGCTCTTGGAAAAATGGCACTGACAGACTGGCTCAACTCAAGGTTGTCTCAAATCTTCAATTTGTAAGGAATGATTAGCAAAGTGCAATAAAACAAGGCAGGCCTATACTTTAAATCATCTCTAGATTATTTATAATACCTAATACAATGTAAATAGTATGTAAATAGTTGTTACACTGTATGGCTTAGGAGAAAATAAGGGGAAAAAGTCTATACATGTTCAGTATGGACGTAACCATTCTTTTTTTTTTCCTGCAAGTATTTTTGACACATCGTTGGTAGATCCACAGATGCAGAATCGACAATGGATATGAGGGGCCAACTGAGCATTATCTCAACTCCACTCCACTGGATAGGGCATACTTCTCTTTGCTTACAAAATTAAGTCCACCCTCAAAAATGCAACACGCCTAAAGACAACTCTGATTCCACAGCATTAAGTACAATGGCTTTGTAAAAGCTGTAAATGTATGACAATAAGTTAATAATTCAACATGTATATTACAATATGAGTGAATATACTTTATGTTAATGACAATTTAAATGAGACAAAGGATAAGTGGTGAAGAAATCGTTCCTCCTTCCCTCCTAAACAATTCAGGCAAACCTAAATAAGGGCAGTCACTTATTCCAGTCCCCTTCTCTCAATAGAAGAGAGGAAGAAAAACATTCTGCCCCTGGGTGGTGTAAAGAACAAACTGTGCTCCTCCAAGCTTCATTCAGTAGCTCTGGACCAAACGAATCAACATGTTTATCTGCTAATACAGCTGAGCTCATTTTAAAGTGTTATGCAGGAACAAAGGAAACAAACTTTTTAAAAAATGAAACTAGTAAGAATCAGAAAGTTTTTGTTGTTTTAGCAAATTTAGTTAGGTTGTTTATGAAGACCAAAAATTAACAGAATAAATCTTCCATTTTGTCAAAATGTTTATTCTCAACTGAAGAAGATTTAAGGAAACTCAGGCTCGAAAACATCTGATCTAAGGGTCAAGGACAATCTGACTTCTTAGTTCTGCCAGCAGTTTTTGAAAGTTGCTTCCTGTACTAGGGAATGTTCACTGTTCTTGCACAAACAATAATAAAAGTCATTTTTATACAAACACCTTGATTATTCTTTCCTTTTAAATTCACTGTTTGGTAATAACAAAGGCTACAATCATGATTCTAATAAACATTCTGAGCTTTTACTTACCATTAAATTTCTATTATTATTTGTGGGAAAACAATTTATTCACTTGTTCAAAAATATGTCCCCGATGCTAATTACATGCCAGACATTATAGATAAAAGTCAAAAGTCGGCGAAAGAGAGTCACTTCCCTCCCAGAGCTTCCAGTTTTGTTGACAAAATATTATGCAATTACACACATATATATATCTATAACCTAGACTATGAAAATGGAACTATACCATGAAAGCAAACAACATAATCTGGCCTGCGAGTCAGAGGATCCTTCGGCAGTGATAATTAAGCTGAGATTAGCTTTACAATCACTAAACATGATTTGAAACACATTCCATATCATCCTAGGAGTAAGAATGCTTACAGCTACGTGGGGGAGGGGAGAAGGATTTATAGGAGCAAAGGTAAAATCCACATGACTTTAAAAATAGAGGTAAGAGCTTCATGTGTACAACACCAAGAGATCACTTATCTCTGCAGGAAGAAACGCAATGGCCATTCCTCGTATATTTCCACTCAAAAATAGGTTTCATAACTAGAACTATTTTCCAATAATAAAGCCAAACATCAGCTATCAATCTAATAATCTCCAATCATCTCAAGTCCTCCAAACACATTAAGCTGAATTTATAACAGTAAACACATTACAAGCCTCAGACCCCTTATAAACCAGGTAATGAAAAAGATGTCTTAAGCTTCACATATCACAGGTCATCTAATGTTAGAACAGAAACTGCTAGAAATTTTCTTGTAATAAAACACTTTCGCTGCCCAAATCAGGAATAACACCCGAAGTAAAGAAGGAGCATTTATAATGTCACACATCTAGTTCATGGAATAGAAAATTGGGTAGAGCTTGAATTGCCTGAGTCACTCTCTATGCTTTTTCTACTAGCATTACAGCGGCAAATGTATGACAAGGAACACACATGTTGCGAATAAATAAGGCTGAATTTTAAGGCACAAATTACATTTCAAAATTTTAAAAATGTTTTAAATATTGTTAGAGATAAAAATATGTTAAAAAAAAATTTCTTTTACACTATGTTGCCTAGTCTGGTCTTAAACTCCTGGCACAAGGAATCCTCCCTCTTTAGCCTCCCAGAGTGTTGGGATTACAAGCATGAGCCACTGTGCATAACTCAAAATTTTTATGTACTTTCACCAATCTGCATATGCCATAGGCTCTAGAAAACAAATGTTCCCTCCTACCACATACCACAGAAGGGTAAAATTGAACAGCTAGGGACGGTAGATAGCTCAAACCTGTAATGCCACATGCTATGGGAGGCTCAAGTAAGAGGATCTCTTGAGGCCAGGAGTTCAAGACCAGGCTGGGCAACATAATTAAACCCTGTCTCTACTGAAAAATTAGCCAGACACAATGGCACACACCCGTTGCCCTAGCTCCTCAGGAGGCTCAAAACGGAGGATCCCTTGAGCCCAGGGGTTCAAGGCTGCAGTGAGCTATGATCGCACCACTGCACTCCAGCCTGGACAACATAGCAAGACTCTGACTCTTAAAAAGAAAAAAGTGAAGAAAACTACTATTTATTGACTCCATAGGGTCTAGGAGCTCGACTGAGTGGCTTATGTACTTTAATTTCCATTAATCATCACAACTACCCTCTTATTAGATATTATTCTCATTTTACTGAGACCCAGAAACATTAAGTAATTTACCCATGGTTACACAGTAGAAAAATGGCAGAAGTAGGATTTGAAGTCTAAATCTAAATCCATGTAGCCATTTTACCATTAAAAAGCAATTTTTTTCTTTTTTTTGAGACAGGGTCACATTCTGTCACCCAGGCTGGAAAGCAGTAGCACAATCATGGCTCAACTCACTGCAGCCTCAACCTCCCTGAGGTGAGTGATTCTCTCATCTCAGCCTCCCAAGTAGCTGGGACTACAGGTGCATGTCACCATGTCTGCCTAACTTCTCTAAATTTTTTGTAGAGATGAGGTTTCACCATGTTGCCATAGCTGATCTCAAACTCCCGGACTCAGGCTATCCATCTGCCTTGGCCTCCCAAAATGCTGGGGTTACAGGCATAAGCCACTGTACCCGGCCAGTGTTTTCTTCATTAAAAAATACTATATAATGTGGTCAGGTCTCCCTGGTAACTTACAGATGCCCATTTAATTGCTAATGAAACATCTTTTAAAGTTTGGTCCAGAATAACTTCCATTTATAACATTATATCAAAAAGAACTACCAAGTTTTAAACAACTACTCTACAAAAAAAATTGAGAGCACATTCTTAAATGTTAGGCATGTTTTCTTTTGTGACATTCTTTTCAACCCTGCTGTCAATGCCACCAGAAATGGGTGTTACATACTCCTATGAAATGTTGGCTCAGACACAAGAAGAGTATAATGCATGACTGCTTAAGAGAACCATAAAAATAAAAGAACCACATTTTAATAATTCTGATTTCTCCACCGGTGGACAGCCAATTATCACCTTCAACTGGGACAGAGCATACTGCTCAAAAATATGAACCAAGTAGTCCAAATAGAGCAAAGCACATCATTAATTAAAAGAATACCAATTTTTGCACAACTACCCACACCAGAGGACTGTCTCTGCTTTCTCAGCTCTGCTAAATTCTGTTACCACTCACGCACCAGGTTCTCAGCTTCCAATATTTAGTTGATGTTGTTTGCCTGCTGTCATCATCTCTCATTCTGTTCTCTTTACCCTCATGGATTTCTGCTTTTATATGCGCTATCATTTTAGTAGGGAGAGAAATACATGTCTTCTCTAATACTGGAGATTTTTAAAGTTTTATTTTGATCTCTATGGTATCTGTTTCCTCCCAGTGTTGTAAGTATCACTCCGTCTTCCACCTGTCTACTTTGATCTCTTTTTTTTTTAATGTTGGAGCCTTCCCCCAAATGGTCAATGGTTTTGGATTGTTAGTTCATATTTAAGAATAAGTCCCTGAAAAGAAATGACTGAAAGATCTGTGTGGAAGAACATGGCTTAACGAAATTGTAGAATTCACTTAGGGTACTCTCAGCAGAAACCCTATCAGTATCTGAAGATGCTGTTATTTTCAGTCTTCCAAAGGAAAAAGACAGGACAGGATTGACTGTGGAGTTCTGGAAGAGCAGAGGAAAACAGCTAAGAGTGCAATAGTTCAGGCATAGGTTCCCCTTGATCTCTTTGTTTTAAACCACGCAACAATCCACTGCCCCTGGTTTCACAGTCCAGGCACCTCTTCATTAATTTTGCAAAAAATAAACTTTGTTCTCCTGAGGCTAAGGGGTTGGTAGTGGAGAGTCACCCATCTACAAGGATACATAGGGAAAAAATCATAGGATTCCACTTGTCAGTGTACACAAATCTTCCAACCAGCTTCCCTGTTTTCAGCCCCATTTCTGACCCCTATCTTCCTTAGTATCTGGCACCTCCAAATGCTCAGTGTCTTGGGAGCTTCGGACAAACACAGTATTGCACATCTCATAGGTACTGCTGTGCACTTACAGGTACTGTGTGATGATTTCTCTGTGAAGTCATTCACTACCTGTCCATCTGCTTCCTTATTTCAAAAGCTATAGCAGCTTCTGTCTCCTGTTGTAACCTCTCCCAGTCTTTGTTTTCTTTCTTCCATTTCGGCAGGAATTAGGAAAGAGGAGGAGATACAGGTGTAGCCAATCTGTCATTTTTGGTCATAAGCCCTGACAGAGCTCTTTTGAAATCAGCTATCTCAGGATACTGACTTTAAGGACTAAACTAGTATTTCTCAAAAGGACTAAATCAGTATTTCTCAAAGTCTGATCACAAACCTGCATTAGAATCCACAAGGATGCCTGTCCACACAGCAGTCTGGGTGCTTTTCGCTTTTGCTGTTAAATGTAAATCAGACTAAGTCACTCCCCTACTAGAAACTCCCTAAAAAGCAGCTTCCCACTCCACTTAAAAGCCAAGGTCTTTCAAAGCCTGAAATGATATGGCCAATGTACATGTATCTCTGATCCCACCTAACACCATTCTTTCCTGCCACTTTCCTCTGCTCTTACTATATCCTGACAACAGTGGTCTTCTGTTTATTCCTTAACCACCAACCAATTTATTGCTAACTCAGGGCCTTTGCACATACTCATTCCTCTGCTTGTAACATTGTTCTTCTAGTTCTTTGCATGGCCCCCTTCTCATTCTTCAGATCTCAGCCCACAGGTGGACAGACAAAACGTGGTACATCCATATTATGGAATGTTATTTAGGCTTAAGAAGGAAGGAGGTGCAGACACATGCCACAGCATGAATGAACCTCAAAGACACTATGTTAAATAAGCCAGTCACACAAATACTGTACGATCCACTTATATGAGGCACTAGAGCAGTCGAATTTATAGAAGCAGAAAGAATGGTGGTTGTTGGGGGCTGAGAGGTGAGGGAAAACAGATAATTACTGTTTAATGAGTACAGAGTTTCAGTTTTACAACATGAAAAAGTTCTGGAAGTAGATGGTGGTGAAAGGTTACACAACAATGTAAATGTACTTTAATGCCACTGAAATGCACTTAAAAATGGTTAAAATGGTAAATATGTTATATATTTTTTTTAAAAAAAGCATGATGAAAAAACAAGAGTTATCCCTTCAAAAGACTCCTCCCAAGATCACTCTATGCAAAGCTCTCTCTCTCTCTCTCTCTCTCCCCCCCTCCCCTGCCAGGTAATTCTCTGGCACATATGATGGTATACGTTCTTCAAAGAAATTACCACTATATAAAATTACCCTGTTTATTATCTGTCCTCCAATTAGAGAGTGGGCACCTGGAATGTCTTCTAATACTACCTACACAATATGGTAATCAATATATGATAGGAAGGCACTCAATACACATTTGGTGGCTAAATGAATTAACCAGCTTCTCAGTCTCAACCCAGGCCTACTAATTGAGAATCCCAGGATTCTCAGACATGATTTATTTGAAGATAAAACTTCCTATTTATGACCCAAATAGCACCTCCCAATCCCAAAAGCTAGTTAGGACAATTTGACACGAATGACCCTTAATTTTTTTTTTTTTTTTTTTTTTT